AAAATGTCATCTACATCGGACTATTAGACATTAGGAAGATCAGCTGAAAATTAAATATTTTATTGATAACATGTCCATAAAGTATATGCAAATGGTGTCGCTAGCTCTTATAAATTACAGGATTTGCTCAAAAAACGGCATTTCGATTTTAATCGAGTTCTTGGAAACGGAGCAGGTCATCGATTATCGTACTGCGCGGGCACTAGGAGGCCCTACGTTCCATTTCCATTTCAAGTCTCTAGCTCTTATAGGTTCTGAGCTCCTTGCGTTCATACATACGGACAAACAGACGGGCTTGGCAGAGCGCCTTTAAAACTCATCGAAGGTGTGCGGAGGCACAATGTCAGCGATTTAAGTAAGTAGGGCTTGCTTACACTTTAGGAAATATATGATCTTTAGAGTTAGTTGAATTTTGGACAATAAACCAGTCGGTAACTAAAAGTTCTTAAATCACTTAATTGGCGCTCAACGCGAAATTAAGACAGCCCAGTCTCACTCAAAAACGACTGAAGCAGCATAAAACGTCATTATCGACGGCAGCGGAAGAATAGAAACACCAACAAGATAAACAGTTTCTAGGAATTTAATTAGAGCAGGTAAATAGACCAAACAATCTATAACAAAGCCAAATTTTCCAAATTTGTGAAAACTGAGAAAAATAACAATGACACAGTTGAACTAATACTTCAGGCAACCATAAAATATAACAGTTCGAACCTCTCGGTTACAAACAAACGATCTGTCGACATGACCCATTCATCTTCCCTAGAGCCCGACGCAGAACTAAGAAATGAAGTCGTTAAAGCCCAGAATATCCAATTGCAAAGGTTAAATGTAGTAAGACATAATAGAAATTTTCAAGTAGGAGCCTTGAAAGATCGAATAAGAGACTGGGAAATAAGATTACGCCTTTGTACAATGAGAAACAGTGGATGCAGACTTGGGGACCACAGTCTTAATTAAAGGTAGTGTGATTCATAAAGATAATGTAAGATGGCTGAAATAGAAATTTCTTTTCTCAGGATCGGGACTATACCGTTTTTGTCACAATGACAACGGCAAAATTGACATATGACGACACGACAATTTGGACAGAACTTTTGAAGAATCATTTTCCTCAAGACAGATACTGGACTCAGAGATACGAACAGGATATACGAAAAATTGCTCTAATGAAATAGGATATTGATTTCGGAACTTTAAACTCTAATGGTATCCGTTACAATCACAAAGATTGGAATTGTTAGCGCGGCAATATTAGACTCCAATGATTTACAAAACATAATCAATGGGCGTTCTACGAACATGAGCATTACGGATATGAGGGAGGTAGTCCAAATCAAGGATCTATTAAATAAAAATGTCTACATTTAATTAAATATCCTAAGTCAAGTTTAATTTGTAAGAACTGCGGTAATGAAATATTACCAATTGGCACTCACAACAACTTTCTGCAGAAGATTACCGTATACGACGTGCGACCAGCTCATTGTACCCTTGTACCTAATTCGCACAGCTCATTGTACCTCTGTACGTAATTCGCTCAGCTCATTGTACCGTTGTACCAACTAACTGGAGTCACGGTCAACGATGGCGGCGCCATCATCATCAATGAGGAAACCGCCGTGATTACGATTAGTGATAACGAACAAAAAAATGTGACCGAAGTTATTTATATTCGTTACCAAAGAATATCTAAGTCGCTGTACGAAGACATTTTTAGCACACTGTATAGATATGTTAATATAAATACTCAAATTGAATAACATTCATTTCCAGAAAAAAAACATGCATATGTATGTATGTATACATGTCTGCGCATATTTGATGCATTTAAAAGGCGCTTCTTTTATATGTACATATGTATGTGTATGTACGTACATTTGGCATCAAGTGAACAGGACGAAAGGGAGTTGAATCACGTGCACGTCCATGTGTAGCCAATTAAGCCTTTTTTTCGCACAAATATTCGTTTTTTTAACTTACTAAGCCGGAAAAAATGTCGGATAATCTCTTTAACTTAAAAAAAATGTCTTATTCGGTTTTTTTATGTGTGTAAATGGTAGTTGGCAATAGTGAATTATGTACATACATACATACATATGTACATATACAAGAAGTCAAGTTTATACATAACATATATTTATATATGTGCATGTGCAAGTACATAATAATATATATACATATGCAATACAATCTACATAAGTAGATACGCACATATCAGGCGCTTTTTCAATTTTAAAAATGCACTTGAACAGTATATACATACATACATACCCGTTAGATACACATGTACAAGCATAAGCATATATGTATATGTATATGTTGGCTGCTGGTATGACTGTAAATATGTATATGTACATACAAATAAGTGAACATTTAATAAAATAAATGCACATTCAATGTACGCTTGTATCATTTGACCTTACACAATTATTTTTGAGTTGTATTCCATTCTTCCGCGAAGATTAAAGTAATTTAAGGATGTGTCGTGAACTGTTTTTTTTTTTAAGGTCCTCTTTTTCGTAGCACCATACGGAGACTAAATTAGAGTTGACAAGTCTACTGAGCGTAACTCACGCAGTCGCATTTCGTTTCTCAAATTTAACAGTGCTACAATGGAATCAGTTGGTATGTATACATTTCTTTACCTAACAAGTGTAAACATGCATGCAATGTGTTCAAAATGTTTAACAAGAAATTAAGTATTCTTAAAGTTTATTTTCAAATATGTGTATTTAAAATTGAGTATTTTTGACGGCATACAAATAATTCATATATTTTGGCAATACTTTTCGATTTAGTTCGATTAAAGTATAAGCATAAAATGGCCGGTCTTTTTGGCATCCCTTACATTTTTTGCTGGTATTTTTTTGCGATAACGGCAATAATTACTAAGCCAAGATCGTCTAAGGAAATTCAAGTTACAAAAACAAATGTAAATAGAACAGGGTTGATTCTGCAAAGAGAGTGTTTGGCAGAGCAAATGTAAAGTTGGTTTTCGATATTTTTCCCATTGGCCTCTTTATTCTTTTTCCTTACTGTTAAGCCAGGCTTTGTCTCAACAGCTTTTTATACATGTTTATTACTGCGACTTAGTTATGGGGCTTTTAACTATTGGTAAAAACAGGTGTGTAAATTGCAGCTGGCTGTAATCGATCCCTGCCTTTACCTTTGGGCCGCGCCTGCTGGCTCATCGGTTCTCTACGGGTAGTCCTGGTCCTGGTCCTGGTCCTGGTCCACACAATCGCACAATCGCATAAATGTCGGCCCTAAAATATACGCATACGGCGTTTACAGTACCAGGGAGGCTGCTGTTTCAATTACGCCACATTCCATTCGCCATTCTGCAACGCTGATCAGCAATTGTACAGGTTGATGGATAAGGTGATCCCGACTCTGAGGTCTCTGAGGTCAAACCTGTTCGTATACCTAGAAAATTTATTGATAATTTCGGGCAGCGCGACATTGTGCGTGGATCCGGAAAGATTGGAGGCGATCCGGAACAATTCACACCTGAGGATTGTATAAGAACTGCGAAGCTTCCTTGGTGTAGCGGATTGGTCCGAATTGATCCGAAGTGTGGAAGAAGTAGAATTGACCCCGGAAGATCTGCTGGGATTCCAGACCATAGAATTCATGACCGCTGAGTACTTAGAGCTGGTGAATGAGGTGATGAGCCAACAACGGAAATTACCAGATTTGAGAGTGCAGAACCGACCCTTGTTCAAGAGAACGGCGAACGAACCATGGAGGATGACGTTGAAGTCACGAGCTGGAAACTCTGGGTGCCGTAGTCGCTGAATGCAGGACTCATCCAACGAGCACGTGTGGACGAGACGTCACCACATGGAGCCATGAGCAAAACGCTGCACGCGCTGTGCTGGCGATAATATGGCGCCAACATGGCGAATCAAGTCAGGGATTATGTGCGGAAATGCGACACCTGTAAGGAGAACCCTCCTTTCAGAAGGTATACATCGACTTTTCGGGGAAATATCTACGATCAAAATGAGGGCATCCATGGATATTCGTCGTCGTAGACCACTTTTCAAAATTCACAGTCAGCAGAAGTCCTCAACTCCTAGTACGCGTGGTCGTTATTAATTTTGCGTGCCCGAAGTGATCTATTCGGATAATGGATGGCACTTTGTATCCAATCGTATGAGGCAATGATCCAAGCGTTTGACACTACGCATTTGCGCAGCCCCGTGTACTTACCTCAGAGTATCGCCGTCAAACGCGTGAGCCGAACGGTACGGTAGGAAAAGGGATGCGTGCCTCCCTGGGGTAGAGTTAACGATTCGAAGTGACTCCGTTTTTCGCGTTCTTTGGCCAGCATATGTATTGGAATGGTTCCAGTTACAAGCTGGCCAGAAAGCAGAGACCATTGGCGGATCACAACATTTCTTGCCTAGACGCGAAGGGCAGGCTGGCCGTTATCCGTAGTCAAGTCAAGGAACACATTCACATCGCGTACGAGCGAAATCGCTAACGCTATGAGCAACGCGCGCGTCAATTCCATCTACGCTGTCGCTACTAGACTCACGCAATTATACATTTATTATTTCGTTAGGTTGCTCAACAATGTTTTGTAGGAAGCGTAGCGGATCCTCTCTGATGATTACTATAAGCTATTCGGAGTCCTCTCTTCTTCGTATTAAATAGCATATTCTAAACTATTAAGCGAATAAAAAGTCTTGGTCTATCTTAGTCTAGTTGGCACTCGTTTATATATTTCGCGACTTATATCGTCTGAAGGGAGCTCAACTCGTTGCATCGGGATTTCCAATAAGTTGGGTAAAAATGCGATGCAATCCGAAAAAATACTTGTTCTAAGAAAGGCCAGGCAACATCTTGTATGCAATAATAAATGTCTGATAGCAAAAATTTAAGCAATTCATCAATAACAAGAGAAAATATTTCATTTGATCATATGGATATGTTATTAAATTACTTTTATTAAACATTTATTTAGCTACATACATAAATCAATAAATATTTTTTATATTATAAAGTAAATGAAAATATATTTTTGTACAATATGTGTGACTTGAAATAATATTAGAGCTTTTAGTTTGCAACTATGAAATAAAATAATGTACATGATTCGATTTGGCTGAATTATAACCAAAGAATGTAATCCTAGTAATGTGCCAGTTGGATTATTTTGATAAATCTATGTGCTTTCGATTAAAAGAAAACAAGAAAATAATTTATTATATTTCCTTGCAACGATTTTTAAGATCGCTATAGAATGAAACGACAAAAAAAACCTTTTTTCATAAAATCTCAGTATTTGAAAATGTGTTGTAAGAAAAACTTGCATATTAATATTCATAACAATGACAAAGATTTGGGAAAATTTGAAAACATAACCCTATAGAGAAATATTCTTTAACATCATGACATTGTTATTATATAGCTTTTTACACTAGGCATCTTTAATAATGGCTGAAACACGACATTATTTTATTACCAATGATTAATTTTGTAGGATATACCGCTTCGGTGGTATTCCGAATCCTTGAACTGGTTTAAACCGTGGCTTTAGCTTAGCCCAAACGAACATTATTAATAGATAGCTTCTAAATAATTTATAAATCAATATGATACGATATAAAAATATACACAAACTATATTTTATTGTATTGATTTCTCCAACATAACCGATTAAGATAAATTCAGATACTACAAAAGATACTTAGCTTACTTTAGCCGAACAAATGTTAAAATTAGTGATTACTTGCTATTACACATATCTACTTTAAAAAATAAATTATGCTTACATTCATACATATATTATATGCACTAATTAAGATCGTTATAATTTAAGCCTATACTTCAATAGCATTTTATATAATTTCTGTTCCCTTTTATAAAGTATGGTTTAAACAATGAGACAATGAAACATTTCACGCATAGTCATCGCCACTGCGCTCATCATCTTCATCAGACGACATCACTTTGCGCCGCTTTTTTTTACTACGTTGTTGGCTCTGCTTACGGGCAAGTAACTTCGCAGGGGATAGTGCTGATTTTGCAGTACGTGAAGCCGGTGTATTGGTACAAGGCGTTTCCTATATAAAACATTTTGGTTTATATTTGATTTGAGAAACAAAAACATGTATTATAAGCTTACAGCCGTTAATGTGGTTGATGCTTGAATATTGCTTTGAGTACCCGTTGGCATAGAAACTGAATTTGGCTTGTCATTTAGCATTTGACTTGGCCTGGTGGAATTGAAAGAGCTATCTCTTTCATCAATGAGTCCGGAATTATTTAATTTTGACTTTTCTCGAGATTCATCTGCATCAGAATCAGCATCTTCCGGATCCAGTTTAAGCATCAGTTGTTTAAACTAAAATTCAGAGAGTATTTACAATATATACAAATAATCGAAGTTTAAAGTTACATACGTCCAAGTATTTTATTACAAGATCCAATTTTTCGTCACTCGTGAGTTCTCTGGAAAAACAATCAGATTCTGTGCTTGTATAGTTTTGGATATGTTGCTTTTTAATCACATCTATTGTTGTTCTTGGATTAAAGTCTGCGACACTTCTACGTGTCACGGCTTTTTCATATAACTTTTGCTCAGAAGGCGAATAACGTGATATTTTGCTATCAGTTAGACCATACATTTCCTTTAAATGTTCTTTTAGTACAAGAAGAAGCATGCACGCCTGTGCAGAAGTTATACACTTTTTGATTTCAGTCATATTTTCAGGTAAGCGACTGAAAAGAACATGTGGGTCGTCTTCATCGTCATCGTCTTCAAGAATGTCACCTCCCTTATCACTTGGTCTCAGATGCTCTTTAAAAGTGGTTAAAAGATGTGTGCCAGCCATTGAGATAAGCAAATCTATTTGATGTATCAGATATAAGGGCTCATCCTGGACCGCATATGGAAAGTACGCGAGATTGTCGGCAATATATAACATTTGCTGTAATGATGTTTTTTTATCATCAAATTGTTTTGTTACTGTTTGAACCAACGCTCGTCTTTGTGGTTTTGTTGTTCGGAGTAATGTATACAGAAAGTCATTTAAAGCTGTCGTTACTTGATCTGGGCCGCGTTTGCTGTAATCGATTTTTTTAAAACCTTTAATATCAGAATATATTTACTGAACTTGTGTAACTTACGCATAGCCCCGAATTATTTCATTTTTCGCCATGTTGTTTACTTGCAGTATTTCCTGCAGCTTGAAACAAAGTTGAAGGCCGAATTGAACTTTCATATTCACAAAGCCCGAATATGTTTTATCAATGTCTTTTAGCAAGGCATCTGCTCTATGCGCTGACTAAAATTGCAACTCGTTAAATTGATGTATTTCAGTTGCATTTTTCTTTTTACTAACCTCAACCTTTAAATCGGTGCTCAAACATATCAAGTATGGTACCATTCTTACGGGATGCACCAATCCTTGGCGCAACACAATTTGTACGACCTTTACTGCCCATAGACGAACTGCGTCGTCACGATTTAGAAAGCAATCAAGTATTTCTTCCAAATATAGCTGAATGATACGACTTGCCATACCAGACGACACATCATTCATTTCCTTTAAGTCTTCGTGCTTTGATTGCTTTTCCCCTAGATAGATATATTAAAGAATAAGGTTAATATCTCATTTATTATGATTATACTTACACTCTTTCTCTTTGTTATGCATAAACATTTCCGATTCAGTCAAATAAATCCAAATATTACGCATACATATTATTTTTGTTCCGGCATCATTTGAGGATGAGCTAAGTAGATCACAGTAAAATTGCTTAAGCTCTGATCGAGTCAGATAGTCATCGTTCATAACACAGAAGGAGCCAAGTGATATAAGTGCTTGTTTACGAATTTCGTGATTTGAGCAACCACAAAAGAACATCAAACACTCAAATACGTTATCGCATATTGTGGCAGGAAGTCCATTAGATGATTCACCTAGGGTTATAATCATTTTAGGTTCGGAACAGCTTTACGAGGTATTAAACAATTACCTAAGGCGATGGGGGATTTAAAGTCAAAATATCGCATTAGAATACCAATCGTAAATAGACTTCTCCGAAAGCTAGGTGTGTAAATATTATCTATATTAAACCCGTTTTGTTCAACTTGGTTTCTAGACAGCTCCAGCACGCGGTAAAACCTATAAGTATAGTTTTTAAAAATGTTTCTATGGAAGTGATTGTTACGTACTTTTGGAAACAGTCGCGGATTAATTTATAGTTCTTCGTTATCTTATTTACAAGCGCTCCCAAACAAGAAACACAGCTGGTAACTTCAGCTTGATTTCGTGAAACAACCAGCAGCATCAGATGCTCTTCTAAAGATGCCAAAAACGATTCGCTAGCATTATTAACGAGAGGCACAACCTTTTCCAGAATATCAGCAACAGCACAAATAAATTTTGCTGCAGACGCTGAATGGCATTTGATGTTCAGATATGGCTCTATTGTCATCGCGTGCCGAATCAAAAGTTGAGGGCGTACTTTAGCAAGCAAATGAAGTGTAGTTATGCAGCCCAGCATACGAGCATTGTCGGTATCCTCCAATTCAATTAGCCGATCCACAAGACCATCGGCTAATTGCTGGCAAGCCAAGACAATCTCTTGTGGTGGTTCCGTATTTTTCTTAACAATTTCTTGCGTGCTTCCATCAAGCTTTACCATATTCTCTTTTGGTTTGAAAATCTATGTAAATAATAATAAAATCAATTAAAATTACAAAAAAATATGTTTTAAGCACTTGTTACGTACGCTCATTAGAAGACCTTCCAACCATGTAGTACCCGTGTCATGGGCCGAGTTCACAACATCAATGATTTGATTGATTTTTCGTTGTATACCGTGCTAAAAAAAAAAAAAATATATATTCGGTATTGAACAGTTGGAAAAATGATTATGGAACAGACCTTGTCATTTTTTACACATGGTGTGAACCACATTTTCATAAATACTTCTGTAACTAGCTTTTGAATGCCCTCTTCATCATTTACGCGACGTATCATTTTTACACAAATTTCAGGTATCTTTTCGAAATCAGGATATTCAATACATATGTCGCGTAAAATTTTTATCACGCGTTTCCTAACTGAAACACCAGTATCCTGCAAAATAAACATCTTAATATAGAATTGATCTAATTTCTAATAACACTAAGTTAGTTTACCAATATTCGAGTCGATAGCATATCATAGTATTGATCGATTAATTCCTGATTGCTAAGAACAAATTTTCCAACTAAATCAACTGCAGCTTCCCGTACCGATATTGCTGTATCTAAAAACTTCTGGTTAACACCCATTTGCATATCCTTTCGTTTCAGAACCAGGGGATCCACTTCAACTATATTTGCCAGACATTTCATTGCTCGCGTCCGCACAGCGATTGATGGTTCACTGTACAAAAGATACATTGTTAGATATTGCGTATTTATAAAAAGAGTGTACTTACTTTACGACTAAAATTATTTTTTTAAGACATCCATCGAACGATTGACTAAATGGCCGCTTGGTAGCTAAATATTGAGCTATCAACTGTGCATTATTATAATCTATATAAGTCTTAATGTGTTGATGACTCTGCTCGCCCATTGAACATGGTTTTATTTTGTTGATCAAGTATTGTTTGCGTTCTTCCAAAACGTTAAAAATTTCAAGATTGAGCTCATAGTCAACAACGTCGACGGAGCGATTTCCATTTTTATTAGAGTCCTCGGGATCATTTTCATCACAAGACCCCGAATCTGATTCGTCTGAATAATCCGCTAAAATTGAAATATGTCAAGATTAAGCCGATAAATTATAAATTTCTCTAACAACTAACTCAATAGTCTATTTGGGTCACAAAGTATATGTATATATTCCTTATTAGTATTAACAGAAGAAGCGATATACTCAAACTCTCTGCTTTAAAGCTAAAGTCCTTTCCTTAGCTCAATCTCTCTATTGTAGATCGGTTCCCGATATAATACAGCTGTCATAGAAACGATTGGTCGATACTTAAGTTCTGCATGAAAAACTTTTTCGTTTGATAAGATATTTGTCGCCTCACAGATAAACCTAATTTAATCAACATCGGACCACTATGAGAACGATCGGACAGAATTCTTCTTTAATGTTAACACCTTTTTGATTATGACAAGAAGTTGGTATTGTTCAACTTACCAGTTCGTTGCTTTAAATGAGATTTTGGTTTTTTTGACGCAAAACCTTTTTCGCCTTCCTTTATTCGACGTCGCTGATAGATAACATCCCTGTACCACTGAGCTAAATAAAAATGTCGGGCGTAGTCCCATATTAAGTTTTCCTCTTGGGCATTTACAGCGAGAAAATCGAGAAGAATTTTTTGAAGAAACTCCGTTCGTTGCTCTTCTGGATGAAGCTCGATTTTTGTCTAAAATGTGTTAAATTTTTTATTAAATATATATATGTAAATAATATTTTGAATACATACATTTGTTATTGGCAAGTCACCCTCCTTTTCTTGTTCTGCTTTTATTGATTTTATCATAGAATCAATTATATTTACTTTGCAACGCGACTCTACGGTGTCCTTCCGCAAACGTGCCGCTACAATTCCAAGATAATCCAAGGATACAAGGCGAATACTCTGTTCTATACCTTTATCAGACACATAACGAACTAACATTGTGCCCAACAATGAAAGCAACAGTTCTGAGGCTGGCCATTCGGGCCTGTTGACAGTAGCCAACAGATCATGAATGAAATTTTCGAAGAGCGGACGAAAATCAGTTTCGTTGGTGCGCGACTTGCATTTATTTAAAAAAGTCGTTAAAAAGTTACCGCCAATACTAACAGCGACATCGTACTTTTTCAGCACAAGGATATCCTGATTTGGCTTTACTATTTGTGAAGCACCGCTTGGTAGATCATCATCAAAAATGTGAGTAAATTTGGCATTACCTCTACCGGTATCACAAAGAGAATCCGTCAAAATTGTAGCGCATTGAATTAACTGGAGCACTAGTGCAGTAACCATTTGAATATTACCCCCATTGTTTGTAAGCTTATATGGCCGAAGATTCTTTTTTGACGAAGGTAAGCGATCAATAGAAGATAGTATGTCACCCAAAATACTGTTACGTATTTTATCGTATCTTTCCTTTCGAAATATCTAAAATGTAAATGTGAAAATATATTAATATGCATAGTTATAAATTAATCGAAAAATACTTAACATCTAAAGGACTGAAAATGTTTCTCAAAAACAAACTCATTTGTAGACTTCAAAATAGGCTTGTATCTAGGTCTAACATAAAATTAGAATAAGTTTATAGACTAACTAATTTTTTACACCCTGAACCGAGTGTTAGCGGCAGTAAAAGGTTCCGATCATATTAAAAATATATTATTTAAATATATTCTAGCTTCACTTGTTCGACTCTTATTTTAAATGCATAAAGTATGCATGTATATAGGCTTACCCAAAAGTACTACAAATTGGCAATTACACAAATTTTGTTGCAATAAAAGATCGGACAATATACCTCAGAGTTAGTCAAGAAAGCATTTGTGGGGAGCTTTGAAATACGGACGAAATATAGAACATTGCCCATGGAACCCTTCGAGAAACCCTTCAGGAGAAACCGTCTCCAAAGATGTAACAGACAGGCGCAAGCTCTTCTCACTATCTAAGGTATTTTTAGCCTGTTTGTTAGTCTGCATGAACGCGTCAATCTCAGAGACTATAAAAAACTGTTGGTGCTTCTACTGCTTTCGCAGATCAAGAACATTTCTAATTCAAAAGTAATTTTAGTTTAATAGTGTACTCACAGTGGTAACTAGCTCCAGGCAAACAAATTGCAGTGTTTCAATATTGTCTACAAAGAAAGGCTCTATAGCGAGCGTCGACAAGGGTAGCACTATGGTATCGACAAATATGCATTTATCGAAGAGTGCCACAAATACCTTTAGAAGCTCAACGACTTTAGAGTAGAAAAGCTGAAGGCTCCGGTGGTGACTTTGATGAGACTTAGTTTTTTTACGTTGACTAGATTTTTTAACACTTTTTACAGTATACACGGGATCGTGCAACGGAAATATAGTTTCACGCAATTGAAACTGAGCAAATTTAATAATGTGTGAAATATTATCCTCTTGCAAAAACTTTAAGTCGCTCACTGTTGAATATATGTTGCATATAAGTAAGCACGCATCCATTGCGTTCAATATTTTTTCAATGACCTCATCATCAACTATCTCATCTTCGTCTTCCTATAAAAGATTAACAAGTGTTTTAAATTGTCCTAAATTTAGGCTCAAAACAACATACCGGTCCAGCAGAATAGTTTCTTGCCAAATAAACGTTGCGCATGGCGTAGTTAATAAGAAGTGTTAATTTGTTTTTCGGTATCGAATCCAGTGCTTGTTTGGCCTTTAACTTGGCAACGTCATCACTCATTGTGTTAAGAAGTTTTGACGAAATGCACTCTATATTATCATCAACATCCTCTGTAAATGCAAATAAAATTAAATACATCAATTTCTATTCCATGGAAATATACAAATATTTACAATACAATTAATTTGGCTTGTACCTGAATCAAAGTTTGGGGATTCCGTATCGTCCAGCATTTCAATTATTTGATCCATATTCCTCATAAACTGTTGGTATGTTTGCGATCGGATGACTTCCTCCTTAGTGCTTTTTGGAGTTGACAGCGCCATAATACGTTCGACCCGACGCAGTTTGGGTTTTGAGACTAAAATATGGCATACAAGTAAAAATAAATAAATACAAACAAGAAGTCGGTTTTTAATGAGACTTACATATTTGCTCTGGAGGAATATCGCCCAGTGAAATGGCCAATTTTCTTTTTGTTCCAGTACGTTTTTCATCTGCTTTAATAACAGTAAATATATCTAATGATGCAGATGATTGTGCAGCAGCATTCGGGTTTGTTGGATCAATTTTAGGAACACCAGACACTCCAACTGAACTGAACTCAGCTGCTAAGGACAGATATTCACTGTCATTGTCTTTGTTAGTAGTAGATTCCTGTAGTAACCCCATATCTCTAGCCAATTCTGGTGACTTTTGTACAAACTTTTTAATACTCTGTTGCATGAGTCGAGCATCTTCAACGCTAAGGCGATTTATACATACCCGAACCTGGGATTTGCCGCTTGAAGATGTGGATGTAGAAGTTGCAGTTGATGTAAGATTCGTATATTGATTAAAATCGTGTAAAAATGTGCTATTATTGTGACCAATCGCTAGTGAGGTTGAAGCGGTGAGAGGCGATTGTGGTTTAGAGTATTGTTGCTGTGATTTTAAAACTTCTTGCTGCTGTGATAGGCTTCCATCGGCTACCTGTTGCCTTTGCAGATTCAGCACATTTTGAAAATTTCCTTGAATCGTCGATGTAGTTGTTGTCGGAGCTTGAAATGCGTTCTGATGTAATGTATCTGTTAACTCTGAAAGCTTACTTAATTGCTGTTGGCTAATTGATAATTTCGTGCTCTTGTTGTTTGCCATATTCATGTGGTCTTTAGGCTGTGATTGATAACACGTCTCGGGCTGGTGTCCGTGCTGATTCAATACTTGAATTAGTGACGACTGCTGCTCCTGCGGTATTGCTGTATCTGCTGGAGAAGTTTTCATGCCCTGCACGTATTGTTGTTGTCTTTGAATAAGAACATCCATGGATTCGTCCTGAAGCCTACATGGTCTATTATCGCGCTGATCAGATAATTGACGAGTAACATCGATGCTGAAAAAGAATAAGGTGAGTACAATTTGAGTGGAATGTATATATATAAAAGCATGAGTAAACTAACATAGTCCGATTTCATATTTAAAGTACAAGGTAACAAGATGAATTGCATCCGACTGATTAAATCAATAAATGGCAATATATTTATCAGACATTTTGATCGAAATGTTTTATAAATTAAGAACTTTTCAGAGTCGGTTGCTTTTGGCAATTTCATCGACTTCTTATCTCAGCTAGCTTTCAATACCTACCTGATTGATTGCGCTAAACTCTCTTTTGCAGGCGGATGCACACGATGCTCAGCATTTAAATTGTACGATTCTTCACACATATCATTAACATTAACGCCCATGTGCTGGGATTCCGCAGGGCGCTCTTTCTGCAAATGTTCCGCAAGCTGTTGCTGGTACGTGCAATCATTTAAAGCTAAAAAAAAAGAAGAGTTTATTGCTTTGCAAATCATTGCAATTGCACATAAATTTACCGATTCTGCGCGGAGTGTTAAAAACAGTTGGGCGATAGTTATAAATACCCTGAAGCAGTTCAGGATATGTGCTAATATTGGCGCCATGCTGCTGAATGGTATATTGCGGCTTAAGTTCTCTAAAAAAGAGCAACAAAATATATATATAATGCACATATTAGCGATCATTTTATCCATAGCTGAACTTACATATTGTCAGAGTTCGTCTGCTCGATGGCATTCACCAACTGCCTTACTAGATTTTCGTCGCGCACAGACAATAGATTATTTGATTCGTTGGCCACCAACGAATGAAACAGAAGCGATTTATTAAAAGATGCAGCACTCTGAAGGCAATCTGAGACAGGTAACTCGCTGAGCACTAAATGGTAAATCGGTTAATATTGATAGTCAATTGATGCAGCAAACGCACAAGTACTTACAGTCAGATGTGCTGGTTAGGCCAGCTAATGTTGTGATGGGTACACTTGGGATGTCCCGGTCCCCCATTATTAAGAGAAAGACAATAATTGTTGTTCAAATTACTAGCATATATAATACATATGACAATATGTAGCTGTAATTTGAGGGTAGATTATATACTTTTCGTCTGAAACTAGGAGTTGTAAAAAGTTAAATTATGCGGTTTTCATAATATAAATCTCTTAACAAATACTTAAAAAGAAAGCGGTTATAGACACAGCTTGACTTCTAAATTGTATAGATGTGAACGTACAAACACGATTAATCTCATGTGTATGGGTATATATGAGGTACATAGCTACATATGTATGTATATACATTTAAATACACTTTACATTCATGTAGGAGCCATTAACTGTTTTGACTGGCTGCAACTAATGTCCATAATAACAATTTAACTTTTTTTATACACAATATATTAATAATATAAGGCAAATTGTAAATTGCTTTAATATTAGTGTTAGCAGAACTTTTAACATTATATGTGTGGGATTTGTGTATCTCTAGTAACCATTCAATTATTATACCATTTTCACACAATCTCTAGCTGGGCTTGCTCGTTTATATTGAATATAATTTGTGTTTTATTTATGAATTTCCTTCAACTAGCGAGTGTTGAGCCAATATGGCTGACACACATGTTTAAATGCTAAATGCTATGCATTTGCAGAGTTTTGTATTAAGAAGCTTTCATTTAAAGGAATAAGACTCTCAAATGAGCTGAAACAGAAAATTGTGCAAGATAGCGCCGCAAATGTTTTTCGATTACCACCACTAATCACTTATTATTTGTTGTACATTGAGTTGTAATTTAACGTGCAAATTGAATATGCACATCCAACAGTAATATATCTATAATCCTGCAAATTTTTACAGATGACACTTAAAATTAAATATATAAAATAATACCCTACATGATTAAGCTTAATTTTCATAATTGACTATAAGAAAAATCTCCGAATAGTTGCAAAAACATTTGCAAGAGTTTTCCTGATTCGCAAAAATAATTATCGGATGTCTAATGTCTATGCCTTAATTTTAAAACGAATAATTTTCATTGTTCATCGTTTGGCTTCTTTATCAATTCGGCATCAAGGTTTAGGTCTTTGTTCATGGCTTGGCTTATAAATCAATGTAATGTATAAATCTAGCAAAATTATTCTCGGTTATTTTCATGATTCATGATTCATGTACGTGATTCGGAAAGAACAGCCAGGGAAGATATATAGATAACACGCGCAAGCCGCATCAGTTATGAAATGGAATTCTGTTGATTATGGATTCTCCGAAAACGATAGAAAGTTTGTAAAGCAGTTGACAAACCTCGTGTGACTTCGGATAACAAAAGTTTTAGGAAGACTCTCATTTATATGTAAGCATCTTGAATTTGTAATTTAAAAAAATGATTCTCTTATGTGTGGTTTAGGCAATGAAAGCCCAATCCGATTAAATTTTTTAATTCTGCTGATTTTGTTGAGCAACTACAAATTATTATATCTTGGGGAACTATTTTTTTGAGAAGTGCTGGGTTTCTTGTTAATTGTATTGAATCTAAAATAGCAAACAAACAAGAGTTAAAGGATATTCCACATCAACGTGTACATAATTAAAAAAAACGAGTGAGTTTAATTATATGCATTCGCTAATTTGTGTACCAATTCCATTGTTCCAAAGTCTGTCTGTTTCATATTGTATGGAACATTATATGATAGGAACAAGCCACATAAATTTTGAAGAAAAAAAAACAACGCATCATCTTGTTTTTCTGCTAAAAGTAAATTTACTAAAAATAACAACCTGATTGAGAAAAGCCTTGTTTATAATAAACTAAATAGTGAACTTAACTAATCGAACGTTTGAAGTTTTCACATCACTTACAAATATTCACATGTTTTTTTTACCGAATGATTGTTTTCTTGTAATTGGTATTATTGATAAGAAGTTGTAAGGCTGTTAAGGTTTCTACTGCTCATTAGGTTGTATTTGTGATATCTGAGCTGTATATTCAATCTCAATTTGGTATATTCACCGTTAGACTTGGAATAAGTTAAAGCCATTAAAAGAATAATTGAGGAGCTATATTTACTATTTAAAACAACAGGTAAGACCATGACACATACCAACTTTGTAATTCAGATGTGGAAAAAATATATGCATCATTGCTTTAATTTTTAGATCGCCACACAAATACTTCGAATAAAATTAACTAAACTGCAAGGATGATGACAGAGAAAATTGTTCAGGGTCACCCCAGTTTGGTTAACAAAGGGTTTGTACAATTTACATATTTCATAATTTAGATTTTATATTGAGAGAACACGCATCAAATGTACTCGTTTCAATATAACTGAGATCATGCCTTTAATGCACATACAAATTGACTTACACATTAAAAGTGTATTTAAATGCGTGTTAATATTGTGCCTATATATATTTATATAGATTTTTAAATGCAGTGAAGCAAACGCATACCAAAAACAAGGGACAGCAATAAAAAATAAATTACAGTGTTTGGTGAAGATATCTTGACAACAGTTTTCTATGAACGGCAACTCTTTTTTTTTACCTAAGATAATTGTATTTGTACATGTTAATAGCATAAAAAGAAAGACTCATTTTAACAAATTACTTTTTACTGAAAATGTAAATGTAACACGCTGAAAGACCCCATTGAATATAAATTCTGTGAGTCAATTTGGCCATGTCCGTCTTTCTGTTTGCACGATCGAGCAGATCTCTGAAACCATAACAGCTAGAGATTCAGACGTAAGTCATTCTACTTTCCGCGTTATACGAGTTTGTTTTCGCCCATGTTCCACCAATGTTGAAAAACGCATTGTTAGATGTATTGTCTTAGGCTCAGGTATTTACACGCATTTGGATGCCCTATTTAAGCCCTCGAAGTTTAATAAAGATAGGACAAACAAGTAAGAGGTTCTAGTCGGGAGCTCCCGACTAGGGGATACCCTGAACCCTCTTCTTCCAACATCAAATGCATATATATATTCTATTTTAGAAGCTATATGTCAAGTTTGTTGACTCTAGTTCTCATTATTTACCAAAATTGCCCAAAAAACAGGATATCGATATAGATTTTTATCGATTGCTTGGAAACGGAGTAAGTTATCGATTATCGGAAACAAACTCGATCTGCGCGGGAGCTAGGAGCATTTACATCTAAAATTTCAAGTCTGTAGCTCTTATAAGTTCTGAGATCCTTGCGTTCATACATACGGACGGACGGACGGACGGACAGACAGACGGACATGGCTAGATCGACTCGGCTATTGATGCAGATCAAGAATATATATACTTTATGGGGTCGGAGATGCTTCCTTCTGCCTGTTACATACATTTGGCTTTCGGACAAATACAATATACCCTTATACCCATTTTTAATGGGTTCAGGGTATAAAAATACCCAAGTCTATAAATCTTGATTAAGACATTTCCCAATAGTGTTCGGAACACGCAGCGTAAACTACGCAGCATGCGTCGGCTTCGCGGGCTGCGGGGATTCTCCCAGTGAGGCACTCCCGTAAAGTGCTCTTATTTTGTCTGTTACTCTGTGGGATTGCATAAAATCAGCTCGCCTGCTTTACCGCGTGCTGTTTTTGTTAGAAGAGGGTTCGCTTTTAAAAATGTGAAGCTAAGGCAAGAGAGAGAGAGCAGGGGAGTGTAAAAGCTTTTTGTTTTGTAGCTTTGTTTAACCAGTTTTTATACATTATACCTAATTGGTTTTAACATTACTTTGTGAATAATTTATATCGATAAGTTGAAAAATTTGATTTTTACAATTATGCTGAGTGCAGCTAGCGATTTTAATTGCATCTCTGACTCCATGATAAATATATGTCTGTGACATGAATATATGTATATTCCTGGCTTCAATAGCAAAGCCTATCGGATCTCGGAAACCATTAGAACTACACTCTTAAAACTTTGAATTCTAAATAGAATTCCCATTCATATGTTCAGACGGACATCATCAAAACGTCTGTAAAATAGAAGAAATTGTTTTTGCCATACAAATATTAAGGTATTAAGATTTCAGCTAAAAAAAAAAAACAAGTGTTTCAATAGCTTGGGAACAGGCTCTCGGGAATCAAATGAAACGTTAAATGACAGATATTTGATCTATAAATACTATTCTAGAAAGTACATGCCAGGTTCTGTGACTCTAGCTCTTAAAGCTAAAGGGATTTGCTTAAATGCAGGATTTCGTTATCGATTGCTGGGAAACAAACGGGACAAGTTATCGAATATCTGATATATCGGACACCAGGAGGACCCAAGTTTAAAATTCTCTAAATTTAGTTGACTAATGGAGGTTGTTTACACTGGCGCAATTAAAGCAACCTCTGCACATATACTTCTTCCTAAAAAGTATTATAAATTAAGTTATAATCAGGCCAATGTATTTATAGAAAAAAACATATAATATTTGTAAAGCTACTAAAACATTAATTGATGAATAATCTACTTGCATATTGTTTTAGGATTTTAAGTGATCATCAAATTGCCACTAATTTAAGTGACGACATGGGATGGAAATCTAAACTGAAGCTTCCCCCAAAGGACAACCGATTCAAAACAACAGTAAGTTTATTTTTAGGTTTATAAATTCGATTATTTGGTAGTTACGTATGTCGTCCGAGTTTACATTAGAATGAACATAGTTGTATTAAATCTTTTAATGTGCTTGTTATATATAATTTGGTATATAAAGATATTCTGCCACTTGCAATAAATTTGAATATCATATTGCAATAGATAGTTATATATATGAGATTATAAATATTTTATAAATATGAAAAGGCAAACCAAAAAAGTATATTAGTAGATTTTGTTTTTACAATATATTTATAGCATATAGAATAATGCGTACGATCTTTTCAGGATGTGACTGATACACGTGGCAACGAATTTGAAGAATTTTGTCTTAAGCGGGAACTTCTTATGGGTATTTTCGAAAAAGGTTGGGAGCGACCATCGCCGATTCAAGAAGCTGCTATACCTATTGCCTTAAGCGGAAAAGATGTTTTAGCTCGAGCAAAAAACGGCACTGGAAAAACGGGAGCATATTGCATTCCTGTTCTAGAGCAGATTGACCCCACTAAAGACTATATTCAAGCATTAGTAATGGTCCCTACACGAGAACTGGCTTTGCAGACTTCACAAATATGCATTGAACTTGCTAAGCATTTGGATATTCGAGTAATGGTAACAACAGGAGGAACCATTTTAAAGGATGACATTCTTCGTATATATCAAAAAGGTATTGAGTTTATATCAATTAATAACAAAAAATATCTCTTCTCGATGGAAATAAAATCGTTTAATAATTTAATGCAAGTAACAATTAAAATTAAAGGCATTGTTAAAATATTATTCAAAGTCAATGTTTTTTTTGTGAATTGATAGTGGCATTAACCTATTTTGTTTTAAATTTCCTTAAAAGTTTTCCATTCGCTTCAGGATTATTAATTTTCGTTTGCTGTCCATAAAACCTTGAAACATGCTGCGCGATCTATTCGATTGATCTTTTGAGGAGCTTGATCCTATTGAGGATTATTTTTTATTTTATTTGTTTTTTGTTAATTTATTTTTATTACAGCTA